AGATCATTGTATGACTTTTTATCCTCCAGCCTCATTTCTGTCATGAAGCCTGTATTTTCTACCTACCAGTCCTTCTTTGTTTTCAACATTAGCAGTCAATCACCAGTCATTTTTAATGCACCTTGACTACAGTTCTGATGCATTTCTGACTACAGTAAGTCAGCAAAGATCCTCAGTTTCTTCATCTTTGGCTTTAACGGCTGGTGTAGTTATTTGATGGTTGTATTGATGGATCTTTCTTATATGTGTATGGATATTATTTTGGACCACTTTGTACAAAAGGACTGATCTTCAAATGCTCTTTTTGATGATGAATGTGACACCATTCCTCTTCAATTTGTCAATCTCACCATTGTAGGTCATATGACTGTCTGATTCCAAATGGCCAATCTCAGTTCACTAATGCCTGTTGTTGTTATATTCCATCAAGGTGGAACTGACTCATAGCTACAGTAGATTTCCAGAGGCTGTAAATCTCTTTAGCCTATGGAACAACTGATGGATTTGACCTATGTGTTTTTGGATTGGCAATGCAACTCCTTACCACTAAACAGCCAGACCCCCCTTCATTAATGCCTAGGATGCTGATTTTTATGCATTTAATTTTTTCACAACTTCCAGTTTTTTTATAGCCATACTCTTGCACTTCATGTTCTATTATTTGTTTTCATTGGATGAAAATGTTACCTAAATCATGTCATTAAGATAGACTCTACTTTGTAGTGGCAGCCCTTCACCAGTTGCATTTTGAGTGCCTTGCAACCTGAGGGGCTCATCTTTTGGCACTATATCAACAGTGTTTTGCTGCCACCCATAGGGTTTTCAGGGGCCTGCTTGCTATTTGAAAAGAGGATGCCCAGTCTTGTGTCTTCATCAGTCTTAGTCTAAAAGTTCTGCTGACCTATCTACCATGAGTGACCCTGTTGGTATTTTAAATACTACTGGCATAGCTTCCAGTATCACAGCAACATACAAACCACCACAGTATGACAAACTAACAGATGGTTATACATGAAAGCATAAGTCAATTCTGAACCACAGTTACCCACTAAAGACAAACAATTCTGCCTCATAGGGTTTCTAAGCCTAGAAATCCTTATGGAAAGAGACTCTCACAACTTTCTCTCAGAGTGACTGATGGGCTCAAACCAATCTTTTGGTAGCATTGAAGTATTTTTAACCACTGTGCCATCAGGGTTCTTTGGGAAGATATTAATTAAAAACCCCTCAAGCTCAATCTTATTGCCAGTAAGGAGGAAGTTAATCACCGCTAACCTTCCAGGGGTTTTTCAGAGGCTGTAAACCACATGAGAGGAGATTGCCTAGCTTTCTTCCTTAGAGCAGCTGGTGAATTCAAAACACCTGCCTTCAGATTGGCAGTGCAACTCTTTAACCTCTAGGCCACCAGAACAGTATTGGGTATGGTGGTTGGTATGTACCATCAAGAGGAGTGACTCCTAGCTGACCCTCTGAGGGTTTTCGGAGGCAGTAAATCACATAGGAAGAGACTTCCCATCCTTCTCTCTTAGATCAGCTGACAGATCTGAACCATGTTCCTTTGGGTTGACGGCCCAACTCCTTACGGACAAGCCACCAACATTCCCTTGAATATGTATTGTTGTTGCGTGGCATAGTCGGAACCAATTGGTTATGTGACCCACCATCAGGTTTTCACATGGGAAGAGATTGTTCATTCTTCTCTCATGGAACAGTTGGTGGATTCAAACCTCATGCTTTTACGATTGCAGTGCAGCTTCTTACCATTAGGTTACCAGAGCCCTCTTGGTATTAGTATTAGTGTTTAGGAATTTATCACATTTTATACTTTTAAAAAATTAATCATTACACATTGACTGCTTGGGAAGCAAATGATATAGATGTGGGTACTTCAAATTTACATTAAATTACCTAAACAATAATATGGCCTTCCAAGTTCATGAAAAATTTTAACACAATAATGTTTAATGTTTGAGAAAGGAATATATATATGTATTTTCAACATATGGAGAGTGCTGCAGATCAAAGTTCCTAAGACAAAAAAAGAACTATTAACTGTAATTGCTAAGGAAGCTATTTTAAGTTATGGCTAGCATGGCAGGAAATAGGCCAATATGAAATGTGGTGAACAAAAAGAAAGACATGTTGTAAGTTACTCAGTAATTTATTTGTTTGTTCTGACTGGTAGGATTGGAATGAAATGAATAAGCCATTGTTTTGCAAAGCCTGAGGGTGTTTTCTAAAGCTAAGGAAAAATAAACCCTAACTACTGAACAAAACCATTTCAGTATCCACTATCCAACACAGACACAAATATAAGTTTATCTAATCTCTAATTAAATGTTAGCTCTTTCCCCCTTTAAAACCAAAAAGAATTCTTCTGAAATATTTAGTTAATATTTGCTGATAATGTTGTTGCTGTGTACTGTAGAGTCAGAACCAACCCACCCATAGCTGACCCTCCAATGGGTTTATAGAGTCAGTTAATCACACAGGAGGAGATTGCCCATCCTTCTCCCAAGGAGCAGCTGGTGGCCTCTAATCGCGTGTCTTTGGGATTGCAGCACAGCTTCTTGCCACTGGGCCGAATGTGTGTGTGTGAGCGTGTGTATGACACTGTTTCAGACAAATAAGTAGATCATTACAACAAATAAAATATTTAATTCGGCCTTGCATTTTATAATTACCAATTTGTAGCTATGTTCTTATGAGCACTCTGTATGAGGAAAAGTTTAATGATATGTTCAATTTTAGGATCTAGATCAGGGTTTCTTATTACTGACATTTCAGGCAGGATAATTCTGTGGTGTTGTGAGTTGTCATAGAAATTATAGGATGTGGCACAAATTTACATAATAAATATTACTGAAGGCCTACCATGTGCTGAGGCTGTTGTAGTCCAAGAAGGAGCAGTATAATACATAGTAGAGTAGATTTTAGTGAATAAGGAGAAAATAAAAAGTAGGGATAGAAGAAAATGAAATATCAGAATTGACAATGGGGTTAATTTTAGAGGGGCCAGATAACACTAAAATAATGAGTCATGGAAGTTTGAAAAATGCGTTTCAAATACTCTGTGTGTTTTATTTAGTAATATGAAGGTGCCTGGTACTATTCCAAAGTTATATGTACCTGATCCAAATTTAAGATAGAAATTACATATTCTTTTAAATATATATTTATCAATGCATTGACTTGAAATGCCTGAAAACAGTAAGAATGAGATCAAATGTCATCTCCCTTCGGAATGGGATTAGCTAGCAGAGGGAAGTCAGGAAGGCCACCTTTGTGATTGATTACAATACAGTGATCCTGATGAATGATGAAGTAATGCAATGCATTTTTAAATAAAGGCTTTTTTAAAAATTAAATAGGCGCTTTCTATCAGAGCAATTACATAAATTTAAACTCAATTCCTTTCCTATATTCTGAGCTCATATTTAATCATCATCAATGCAGATCTAGTGAACAGTATGGAATTTTATATTTTGCAAATAAAATAGCTTAAGTAACCTTCAAAAAATCCCTACACTTATAGCCACATGAATGTTGTGGGAAAAGAAAAGGCCATTAACTTATGGCTGGGAAACTCACTTAAAGTAAAAATTATATGACTTTTTTTGATAAGTCATGCCCTGTGATACTGCCACTGTCATCAGTACCCACCCAAAGTACCCCAGAGTGTCACTGTGGTAGGGCCAACTGTGACTGCTCCATGCAGTGTCAGAGGAGGAGGTAAGTATTTATGGAGCAAACTGTCTCATCCTTCTCCTGTGAAGTGGCTGGTGGATTTGAAGCTCTGACCTTTCCATTAGAAGTCCAAAGTTTAATCCACTGAATTACTAGGATATTTTCACCACTATTCAATAAAAGCTGAAATGAACTAGTGTTAAAATGGCACATTTTCTCCAGCAGAGCATCTGTTGGATTTGAACTGCACACCTTTGGAATTGCAGTGCAGTTTCTTGCTACTAGGACACCATAGCTCCCTTAGAATGACAAATTTTAAGATAATAGTTTATATCATGCTTTGCTTTGTTTTTATTAGGATTTGAATCACTGCTACTAGTAGTCGTGAAACCCACTAAAACTAATGAACTATGAACTAAAGGAAATGGGAAATTAAAATGAATATTGCTAGTAGTGACAATATAAAAATACACAAAGAAAAATCTCATAATTAAAAAGACTCCATTTTAAATGTTTTGCAGGCCATATAGAAATCTTTAATATGCAAAGACATTTGAAGGAAAATACCCAGTTGTTACAACGCATTCTCCAGGGCACTTCTTTGTAAAACCAGACAAAAATAAATAAAAAATAAACGCAATAATTTTTCCAAAAATGCCCTATATTGTTTTTAGTATTCATTAAAAATAAGAAAATCATTAGGAAGAAACAACATTAAGCTCTCATGTAGTTTTAGCTTCTGTATTGCATCTCAAAAGGCTTTGTCTGTTAAAAAAAAATACCCTCAAATGTAAAACCAGGTCACTGGAAATTTATTTCTTTGTAAAATAAAACCGTCACTGAGCAACATTTGAGCTTGCCACTATCTTCTCTCCCTGCCTACAAACTGAGGAACCAATTCCTCTCTTTTTATAGCTTAAAACTACCTTTAATCTTTGTAAATGATTTAAGGAGGTCTTTCATCTACCAAGACACAGTGATTCCTGATAATAGTTCCAAATATCACTCACTTGTTACCATTATAGCGTGCACAGGACACGAAGAGAATATGAAGAGACCATTATGTCCCTGTTGGGGGACAAGTAAACCTTTTCCACAACATGGAAAAACCATACAGACAATGCACAAAGCGTTTCGGGAGCAGAGCAAACAACTAGCTCTGCCTGAGAAAGTTCACAGATTAACTTTTCTCTGAAAAATAAACTCACCCAATTTCTCTCTATTTTACCTTAAACATTTTGTTGTGCTCATAATATTCAGTAGCCTTCACAGTGGGCGGCACTCAGCAGATGATAAACCCACAAAACACATACCTTGTGGCTTTGGACTTGCAGCTGAGTGTTTTGCTGGCGTTTTTCCATTTATTCCCTGAGCCTCTTCATCAGATACATTCTGATCAACCAGTGTGGTTGTGCTGCTTGTCAAGCAAGGTGGAACTAAAGTGATCTTTGGACAGATACTGCTGCCTGTAAGAATTCCAAAAGAAAGGTCAAGTAAACACAGAGAAGTAGCACAATTTTATCTCACCTATTCTGACCTCATAAAGCCAAAACTATTTCAGTTACAATCAACACACAAACGTCCCCCCCCCCCATATAGATTTGCCTTGACAAGCTGTCCCAGGAAATATTTCATCCCGTGGACTTTAGAAACCACATAAAACCATAATGCATGATGACAGAAGACTGCTATCTGCACCCTGCTGTCCCTGCAGGGCTACAGAACGCAGCCACTATGAAGTAGGTGAAGGAGAGGACGCGAGGACCGCAACACTAATCCATTAAAAGTGTTCCTTCTGGCTTCTGGTCAACTAGCAACTCAAAGAATAAAGCAAGCAACAGGATGACAGCTGTCCTGAAGACCCCAGAAAACATGGACAAATACATCCATGCCACATATCATACCTTTCTCACCCACCCACTCACTCACTCAGTCTCACGTCAACTTTCATGATAGATGCTAATATAATTGTGACACATGTTTCCTGAAAAAAGAATGTTAAGATTCTTCTAGTAATAATGTCACATTTACTGAAAACTCAAAAATTAATTTGAGACCAGTATTAAATAGATTCATTTTTGGCTCAGCTTCTGATTAAGAAATTATATGTTGCATTTCAAAAGATTTTTTAAAAAATAATAAATCCTGTATCAATATTTTCTCTTTATACACTTAACTAAAGTTCTCTCTTTTATGATTGGGTGACATCAACAATAGATTGTAATCTGCTTAGGAGAAAGAACCATTTATATAAGGAAATTTTACTCTGATTTATTTTATGTTTATTAAATTGTATCCTTCCCACAACATGTCTTGAATTCCTGGCCCTTATATTTGTTGATGCAGTAATCCTGTTAGGAAATACAGTTTTCCTTTTTTAATACATTTAAGGGGTTATTCCTGAAAAAGAAAAAGAAAAAGCTGCTCTGCAGGTCCAGTCGATAACCAATAGGCTACGCCATCTCCACTGGTTCTGCTCATTAGGATTTGCAGCCTTGGAAACCCAATGGAGGGTCATGGCCAAGAACCTTTGGATTTTGAGTCCCCAGATTTGTGAGAAAATAAGTTTCTGTTCTTTAAAGCCATCTACTTGTGATATTTTTGTTAGCATGCCCCTGGGAAACTAAGCCCATATCCCATCTAGGAAACTACCACTTGGTTAAAGAGTTTCATTTTTATAGAATCTATTTCTTTCACTATTATTAATTTCAATGAACATTTACAGAGATTGTGGGTTTCCATTCATTCATTTTTGCACTTTTCTCCCTGTCCACCCCTTCCCCTGCCCAGTTTGCTCTTCTCTTTGAAAAGTAAAAGAAAAATTACTTCATTGTTATATATATTTTTTTAAATAAAAGGCCTTAATTATTTTAACACGTTGCCTCACACTTTATAAATTGACGACTGTGCTTAGAAACACATTTGCCGTCATTTGTGTCAATGTGTTAAAACATAAGAGACGCTAATAAAAACCCAAGCAACTTTTAAGAACTAAAAAAGAGACACCCTTTTAATGAAAACGAATTCTTAAAGAACGAACGGCCTGTGGTAAGGAGCTGCACTCCTAGCCCTCCCATGGTCCGAATCTGCCTGCTGCTCCAGTGGACAAAGATGCACAATCCCCCATGTGTGCTTTACTGTCTTCAAAATCCCACTGGAGGGTCAGGTTGGGTTGAATCCAACGAGAAGGCATACACAACAAAAACAATAACTAAGAAATGCATTATAATTTTCTAAACTTTAAGTTTATTTGGCTAAAATAAGATTTTTAAAAAAATACTAATAGTTCCAAGTATTGTCCAAGATGTTAATAGGTAGTCAGTGCTAAAACAAATTAAATGGGTTTTCATCTGACACCATTCTGTTACCATATCATCTACAGCAGAATTCACTATCATTTAACCATGTATGTAAAAAGCCCTAACTGTAGGAGCTCTGGAAAAATACATGCAAAATATTATTCAAATTGAGAACAAAAGAGATATACACTCAAAGCTTTAAACAGGTGTACTTATCTACAGTCTTAGAATAAGTATACAAAGGAAGCAAAGTATACTGTAAAATCCACAGCATATAATCAAACCACTTCTTTTTTGAGGTGGAGGAGTGGAGGATTGTTTTTATTGTTGTTGTTGTTACTGAGTATGGAAATCAACCCACAGCTGTCCCTCTAGTGGGTTTTTAGGGAGCCTGGGTGGCCTATTGGTAAGAAGCTGTGCTGCAATCTCAAAGGTATGAGGTTCTAACCCACCAGGTGCACCACAGGAGAAGGATGGGCAGTCACCTCCCTTGTGATTTACTGCCTCTGAAAACCCAATAGAGGGCCAGCTATGGGCAAAGTCTAACTCGACAGAACAACAGTGTGTTTTCAGAGGCAGTTAGGCACAGGGGAAGATTTCCCACCTTCCTCTCACACAGCAGCTGTTAGATTTGAATTGTGTCACTCTGGAAACTAAGGTGCATCTGATACAGGCCATGGTCTTTGCAATCACTTGATATGCATCAGATAGTTGGACAATGACTAGGAAGGATAGAAGGAGAATTGATGCCTTTGAGCTGTGGTGCTGGAGAAGAGTATTGAATGTACTATGAACTGCTAGGAAAACAGATTCGTCCTAGAGAGGATTAAACCAGGCTGCTCCTTGGAGGCAAGGATTCTGGGGCTTCATCTGACATACTTTGGACATGTTTTAAGGAAGGACAGGTCCTTGGAGAGGGACATCATGCTTGGGAGGTTGGAGGGACAGCACAGGAGGAGAAGGCCCTCTATGAGGTGGATTGATTCAGTGAGTGGGGTAATCGGGATGGGTGTGTCAGAGGCAGTGCGGTTGGCGCAGGATAGAGCAGAATTTAGGGCTGTCATACATAGGGTCGCTATGAGTCGCAAGCGACTCGACGGCACATAACAACAACAACTCCTTATTGCTAAAACACTAAGGAAATTATTCCCCCACAATGACTCTATACATAGCTTAGAATCCTAAATGGCTACCTACTGGGAAGCAGTGAAGAATGGCCATGAGCAGAAATGGTGTCATGCCACAGCCCAACTACAAACCAGAGGAATAGACTGTAATATAACTATAAAGTGAGACCCTTCAAAGATAAGAATGCAACTTTAGTAATCAACTTACACAGCGAGCAACAAGACAAACAAGAGAAGGGAGCAATGAATGGGTTAAAGAAGAAAATAAATTGAGTATTTAAAAAAATTATCACTAGTTATAACTTACAGTATAAAATTAGTTTCATGATTATAGTCTATTTACAAACAAACTACGCCTTGTATCAATTTTCAACTCAATTATTTAATTTCGGAATAGCACACTTTTAGGCTATAATGTGCTTTAGAAGTATATTTACAGATACTCTTTTCCATGAATGTGCTCAAATGCCTGCAGTAAGTGATCAACTTTATAAACATTTTGAAAGCAAGCCAATAAACCAAAAAAAAAAAAAATCCCAAAACCCAAACAACAAAAAAATCATGAGTATATAGTATCTTTGCAAATGGCAGTAAATCCACATCCAGAAAGTTAATTTCAAATATTTGTTTTAAAGCACATCTCCAAAATTCAGCCTCTATAATGAAACAAGGAAAGGTGGTCAAGGACACAAAAAATAATGGCTTCTACATTTTAAAACATTGTCTAGGGGGGAAAAAATGTATCAGAGACTATACACTACCCACGGAGTCTTTAGTATTTATATCTAGCCCTTTATAGAAAGAAAAAAAAAAGTGTTGACCACTGTCCTCAGTCAAGCACATCTCAGCTTTTAAAACGTAAGTGTCTAAAAGAAGTAACCACTCTTTCATGAGATACATCTGCTAGAACCTTGGATATCAGCCCTCAAAAAGTAAAATTCCCTTTCGCTTGTTTATGGCCAATTGGCCTACTCACATTTGGAGGCAGTTCTTATTTGGGTGCCACTTTCCTAACAGGAATCTGGAACCAGAATTGTAACCAGATGGCCTACCCATTCATGAGTTTTTCCACCAACTAAAGCTTTTCATTAACCTGTTAGATTCCAAATTCTTAGGAAGAATGAGTAACAGTGATTTTTAATCATAAAATTATCATTGTCTTGTTGTTGATATTGTTATGTGTAGTTGACTACAGGTAATGGTGACCCTATGCATAAATATCCTGAGCCAATCTTACTATCTCTGGCACACCTACCCCCCACTGCCACAGTCACTGTGTCAATCCATCTCATTTAGGGCCTTCCTCTCCCCCTCACTGACCCTCCACCCGTCCAACTATGTGAGATCAAGTTTCAAAATCCTTGTCTCCAAGGAGCAACATTGGTTCACCTTCTCCAGGACTGACTTGTTTATCTTGGCAGTCACCGGTATGTTATCTTAGGCACATATTTAACTAATTCCAATGTATTCAGTCAGGAATGGGGCGGGAAGTTCCACGTAAATGCTCTTTCATTTACTTGAGGACTTGTAATCTTTCTCGTCATTGGGTCTTTGGGTTAATACTCTTGCAGTATTCTGCTATATGCTAGCGGCAGAGGCTCATCAAACATTCCTCATTAGCACAGCCTCCTCTTTAGCTGCATAAGGCTTCCTGTTCCAACTGGAGGAGCTGCAATTATAGCAATTATAGAGCTATTAACCTTTTCACTTCATTCATCTGTCTTTTTACATTTCAATGGTCATGAATTGTTTTATAATTTTGAGTAACAGATACTCTGACTGGTTAGGGTGACTACTGGCTTCCATTTGCAAAGCTTTTTAGTGGGTTTCTCTCAGAATGACTGTGCTTATTGCTGGTCTACATGCAAAAGGACAGTGAAGACTGACTCAGTGTATCCATGACTCAGTGTCTGGGGTAAGGGGGGGTAGGTGTGCCAGAGACAATGGGGTTGACTTAGGATAGAGCAGAGTTCAGAGCTGTTGTACATAGGGTCACTAGGAGTTGCAAGCAAACTTGATGGCACATAACAACAGCA